ACGTTCCTGAAAGCGGCTGTGGAGGGCAAGTTGAAGGTCATTGAGAAGTTCCTGGCTGACGGCGGTTCGGCTGACACCTGCGATGAGGTGATGCCCTCCCACCCCTGACCTGCCACCCCCACTCCCGTGATCCTGGCTCGGCCCACTGTGGGCCTATCTGAGAAGAGCCATGGGTGATCTGTGGGTGGGTGGCTGGGTGGGATGCGCAGAATGAGATGCCCCCTTCTCCACACGGGAATTTACCTAAATCCTCTTAGACCCTTTTCCAACTGCAGCCACCTACAGAGTAACAATTGTCACATGTTTATTTACGGAAGAAAGAGAAATAGTATCAAATAAAACGAGGCCAGAACCAGGAGATTTGGGCTCAGAGAAATCCTATCTCTACTACTCACTATTTGCAGGACCCATGGCTGGGCCGGTCTCCTCTCTCTGCCTCAGTTTCCTCCTCTGTTCCTCCTCACATGTTACGGTAACCAAATGGAATATTAGCACCTCAATTTACTGAATGAATGAAAAAACTATAAAGCACATACAAGGATATGATATTTTTGTTTCTCATGGTATAATATCATACTTCCTTTTAAAAATTATTTTTAGTTTATTGTGGTAAAATGTAACATGAAATATGCCATTTTAACAATTTTAAGTGTACAATTCGGTGGCATTAACTACATTCACAGTGTTGTGCAACCATTGCCACTATTTTCAAAATTTTCCATCACCCATCATACTTCTTTTTGTTTTCCCTGAAACTGCCTCTTTTACATTTCTTAGGGTGCTCCCTTGCTCTCATGTCCTGGGATTCCACATGTTAATGGTTTCCCACCTTCGGTCTGCATATGGTAGCCTTTGACCACATGTCCTTTCTGTTCTTTAGGCTCCAGGGTCTTAATCCTCTTGGTCTGTCCAAGCCCCGTCTCCCTCTGAGCACTGTGCTAGGTGTCAGGAGTACAAAAAAAGAAAAAAAACCAGGGTTGAGAGTGGTGGGGAGGTCGAAGCATAACCAGGTCATTAGAATACGGAAAGGTACTCACTGTGGCCCTAGTGTTTCAAGAGTCCAAAGTAGAAAGCAGCTGCCTTGTGAAGGGAGGAAGTTGATTCCTTCCTTGAATCAGTAGTCAGTGGGCCGTGCTCATCCTGGCCTTGTGCTAGGTACTCGGGGCAAATAGAGTCCAGCCAGACTTGGCCGGCCCTGGAACACTCTCTCGCAGGCAAAGGTCATCTGGACCCCTAGGGCAGCTCTGGTCTAGAGCCTTCAAGGAAATGATGGCACTTGAGCTGTGTCTTGAAGGAATAGCAGATTTCATCAAGCGCTCACAGGGAATGAGGGCAAACCAGGCATGTGTGACAGAGAGAACAGCCTGTGCAAAGGCACGGCTGGATGTGCTTAGGGGGCAGTGAGAAGGTCTGAGTCCCCGGGTCAGAGGGCTCCAAGGCTGATCTGGGTAGAGCATAAAGGAGCTGGCAGAACACAGAAGACATGGGGACCCACACAGGGGTCAGACTCAAGCTGGGGTAAGGCCTGGGCCTCAGCTTGGGTGGGAGATGGGCTCGGGCCTGGGGCCAGAGGCCAGGCCCTGACAGTGTCTCTGGGGACAGTTCCACCGGACAGCCCTGCACCGAGCCTCCCTGGAGGGCCACATGGAGATCCTGGAGAAGATTCTGGAGAGTGGGGCCACTGTGGACTTCCAGGATCGGGTGAGCAAGAGGACAGGTATTGGGTGGGAGGCGGAAAGTGGGTCCAGCACCAGTAGACCCCCCTCTCCCTGCCAACCTGTGCCAACCTGAAACACAAACAGGCTGCTCAGGGGCCAGGCCCCACCTCTAGTGGGTTGTGTGACCTTGGGTAAGACCCGTATCCTCCCTGAGCCCTCTGTAAATCTAGCTTGGACTAGGGGGGCCCTGGGGGTTCTTCTGCTCCCCTCGGTCCATTGCCCAGTGCAGGAGTGCCTCTGCTCGTTCCCGGTACCTTTCCCTTTGGGCTGGGGTCCTTTCCCCCTAGACACTTCCTTCCCTGCAGCTTCACAATGAGACCCCATCCTTCCCTTGTAGCTGGACTGCACAGCCATGCATTGGGCTTGCCGTGGGGGCCACTTGGAGGTGGTGAAACTCCTGCAAAGCCGAGGAGCAGACACCAATGTGAGGGATAAGGTGAGACAACGATGCTCAGATGCAGCAGATATTGGGGTGGCTGTGAGTAGGAGGGTGGGGGACAGGGCAGAGGGCAGGAAAGCCCAAGAGGCAGGAAAGTAGTGAGCTGGTCTGGTTTCTGGAGTGGCTGCAGAGTAAAGAAGCTAAAACAGTGTCCAGCTAGCCTCTAAGCCAGGGACAGGGCCCTGCCATTGCCTGCAGGCCCTTGAGGGGCCATCATCTGGGAATGGGAGCAGGAAGAACAGAGGAGGGGGAGGACAAGAGACCCACTGACTTGGGAGCTTTGGGGCCACTCAGATGCAGGATTTGTTCATCCATGCAATCCTTTATCATCCTTCTATCTGTCTATCCATTCATCCATCCATCCATCCATTCATTTGTTTATTTATTCATGCACCATACTTCATTCATTCCTTCATGTGTAACCTGAACAAGTGACTTAGCCTCTGAGCCTTTGTTCCTCATCTGTAAAATGTCTTGTGGAGTTCTCATGTATATTAGGTGGGAAAATGTATGTAAATGAATTATTTATTACAATGCAGAATTGAATCATAATTAACGTAAAACATAAGGCTAATGTATTGATGAGCTTTTGTCATGCCCATTATTACATTTGTCTCTCAATAAATGACATCTGTTATAATTATTAAAAAAGGGTGGAGGAGTGAACAGTTGTTCACAGCTGGCTGAGAGCGGAATCATAGAAGGCTTCCCAGAGGAATCGGCATTTAAAGATTTAGAGTTAGACCGTTGGTTAGGATGGTGGGAAATTGTACCATTCCCTGTCTGTCCCGGGCTCAGGCCTTGGCACTAGGACTTGGAAGAGGGATTAAGCTGGAGTTAGGACAGCCCCCGACCCTAGGGGTTCCACAGTCCAGACCCCCTCAACTATAGTTCCTGCTTACTCCCCACCCAGCTCCTGAGCACACCTCTGCACGTGGCGGTCCGGACAGGGCACGTGGAGATCGTGGAGCACTTCCTATCCCTGGGCCTGGACATCAATGCCAGAGACAGAGTGAGTGCCAGCCTGCCCGCTGCTCGGCCCCACTGTGGGTGTGCGGGCAGCCTGCAGGCTCCACTGGCAGTGTCCGTCCCTTTGGGACCCTCAGGACACTGACTCCTGATCAGGGTCTCTAGCCCACCTCCTATCACCCTGCCCCTGCCTGCTGCCCACAAGGGCCACGCTGAGTGCCACACTGGCTCTAGGAAGGGGACAGTGCCCTGCACGACGCTGTGAGGCTCAACCGCTACAAAATCATCAAGCTGCTGCTCCTGCACGGGGCTGACATGATGTGCAAGAACCTGGTAAGTTCATTCCTTCCCTGATTCAGGAATCTCTGTGAGTGCTCACTCATGGGAGGGTCTGTCCTAGCTCCAGCCTGGGGACACATATCACTGGCTTGGGCCCATCACCACAGGACACGAAGTTGTCCGCTCCAGAACACCATTCCAACTACCCAGCCTTCCCAGCTCTCTCTCTGCAAGTGCAGAGCAATGACAGCAAGAGGACTCCCCCAAAGGCCCCCAAATAGGCCAGAGGGGTCCTCACATGCGGGCCCACGGGAGTCCAAATCGTGGAGGGCCAGAGCTGGAAGGAACCTGAGCACGTGGTTGGTATGACCAGTGCCAGCACACCATGTCGGTTCCTGGTGTCCTCGAGTTGTCTTAGGACCTGTGTCCCCTAGTCCAAGCTCTTCTTTGGGGCCCAGAGCAGTCACAAAAGAGAGGGACATGGAAGAGTCCCTCTGGCTCAAGAAAGGCTAAGTGGTGATGGGAAACGCAGGAAGACAAGGAGAGGGTAAAAGAGGTTTTCAACCTCAGCATTATTGACATTTTGGGCTGGATAATTCTTGGTTGTGGGAGACTGTCCTGTGCATCACAGGATGTTTAAGCAGCATTCTTGGCCTCTACCCAGCAGATACACGTAGCACCCACCCCCTAGCTGTGACAACCTGAAGTGTCTTCACACACTGCCCCCGGTTAAGAAGTACTGGTGTAGAGGAGGGCACCTTCGGGTATAGACTTCTGGACAGTGAACAGATCTCCTCTTGGTTCCCCAGGCAGGAAAGACCCCCACGGACCTGGTGCAGCTGTGGCAGGCTGACACCCGGCACGCCCTGGAACATCCCGAGCCTGGGGCAGAGCAGAACGGGCTGGAGGGGCCTCCTGAGAGTGGGCGAGAGACCCCCCAGCCTGTGCCAGCCCAGTGAATGCCTGCCCCAGCCCAGCCTGGCCGCCGCCCCCACCCGTGTGCAGCCAGAGCGTCATAAGAACGGCCCCCAGAGCCAGCTGAGGACCCAGCCATTCCTCTGCAGGATCCAGGAGCATCCACAGACTACCACAATAAAAAAGTTGTTTTTGCTATGTGTGATGTTTCTTTCCATTTGTGTCCGAAATATTTAGGAATGAAGGAAGACTGGGGGCAAGGTTGGGCTTGGGGAAGAGGGGAACTTGGAGCCTCTGGCCCCTCTGAGCCAGACCTGCAGCTTTCCCTACCGTGGTCTCTCCTCGCTTCTTCCCTGCCGCCCCGTTTTTCCTGTCCCTTCCCATGTCTCCAGGGCCCGTCTTGGGCCTGCACAGATCGGCTTGGTGACACACGCATCCTGGGCCCCCTTCTGGTGACAGCTGTCCTGTGGAGCTGTGTGGCCCGCACAGGCTTGTCACGTGGCCGCCTCAGCAGGAGGAGCCTGGCAGGGGGTGGGCAGCAGAAGGGCGGCTCCAGCAGCAGGCAGCTCGCGGCCCAGCCTCCCACGCCTCCCACAGGGCAGGGCCAGCCCAGCCAATCAGCTCCGCCAATCCCCAACTGCCCTCGGAAGCCTGGCCGCGCTTCTGGCTTTGGGGCAGGGAATTGTGGGAGGAGGGCCCAGGTCCCACTGGAGACGCTCTTGGTGTCGGGACCCCGGGAACCAGCCCTCCACCTGGCCAGAGGGACACTGGGTTGTGGCGTTTCTCCAGCCTCCCCTGCTGGGGCCTATAGTTGCCCCTGACTCTGGGGACACCTAGCTCAGGCCTGCCTCAGTGGTCACAAGTCAGGGGGGCTACAAATTTTTAACTAGACACATTGATCATTAACGGGGGTTGGAAGGAGTCCACACACAGTCTCACTCTGGGGCACAGACCCACAGGACCTTGGGCGTCCTGCAGAGATGATGGGCCCCAGAGTCTGGTCCTCTGTGAGGCAGGGGCTGAGCAGGGGCCTGGCACGGAACATAAGGGGGTTGGCCTCGGGGGAGGGGAGGAAGGTGGACATCGCGGGCATCTACCCCCCTGTGACCACCCCCTTCACTGCCACCGCAGAGGTGGACTATGGGAAACTGGAGGAGAATCTGCACAAACTGGGCACCCTCCCCTTCCGAGGTAAGTAGGGCCTGTCCACCGTGGGAGCTGGGGAGATGTGAGTGGCCCCGTGCTCTTCGGCCAGAGGCCATGGGAGGGTATGCAGGCTCTGTCAAGCTGCTGGGGATAGTCTGGTACTCTGCGTGTCATTTTATCACAGGAGAGGAATGGGGCCACTGGTCTGGAGTCAGGGGACAGGCAGGAAGCTCTCTACTGGCCTGTGACCTCAGACTGAACCTTGCCCGCCTCGGTCTCCCCAGTTGCGAACTGCTAAAGTGCTGACTTAGCTCCCAGCATTGTTACGGGATCAAACTGGATAATGGGTGTGACATGGGGGTCAACCAGGCACTGGGTGCAGATGTGAGGGTGTCAACTGGGGTCACGTGGCAGCCCAGTCAGTGGTCTCAGTTCCTTCAAGCTTTGTTCGCATACTCTCCAGACCAGGCCTTCCTTGGCAGGATTAATTCTCCGTTTTGGCTCCTCTGACATGAGTCCCCGCCTTTACATATGGGTCTCCGCCTCTCTGAGGTCAGGGATCAGATCATATTCGTGACACTCCACATGGAACACAGCCACAGAGGCAATGAATGAAGGAAGAAGGAAAGGGCACATTCCACCCGCCTGCCCTGCCCACCCTCATCCGTCACCGTGGCAAATCCCCGAGGTAGTACTCTCAATAGCACCATCTCACAGATGGGAATCCGGGGCTCAGAGTGACATGGTCACTGCCCAGGGTCACTCAGCTAATACCTGTCTGAGCTGAGATTTGCCGTTTCACTCCATTCCTTGACTCTGATTACACCCGTCTGAGTCGCTAGACCGCACTGTTTGAACACAGAGCGTCTGGTCTTCGCCAGCTTTGGGATTGGTGCGGCTCTGCCCAGGCAGCGCAGTGCAGACCGTGGATTCTCGTTTCAAATCACAGCTCTGCCACTGACTTGTTATAGGATAATGTCTCAAAACCTCAGTTTCCCCCTCTGACACATGGCAGTGAAATGCCCATATCAGGGGATGGTTGGGAGAAAAATCTGAAAGAATGCGAGTAAAAGCATGCTGTGAAGTGTAGAGTGATATACACTCAAAGGTATTGACTCCAATGATGATAATTATTAAAATGAGTGTGATTGACATTGTGACAAAGCCACTTTGTGACAGTGACCATTGGTCCAAGGGTCCACTCAATGCTGAGGGGATGTGATCCTTCCCTGGGAGACAGTGAATGCCCCCTGATGCCTGCATGGAGCAGGGACAAACTAAGTAATTCTCTGCTGTAGCGTGGCTCATGGTTTGGGCTTAGGCCTGTTTCTCATGAAGCAAAGTGGGAAGCTCCTTGAACTTCAGTGTCAGGGTTCAAGGACACCTTGTTCAGGGTGTTACATCTGGTGTCTGCCTGCCATGAAGAGAATCCAGAGACCCTCAGACTCCTCTCCAGACCCTCCCTTCTGTGACACCTACCCATGCCTGCAGAGGGCATGGGGATGCCCAGTGCGGGCTTCGCTGGACTTGGCAGGACGCAGACCAGATGTGTCCATGAGTCGGTCTCTCTCGCAACCCACGTAGGCTCCTGCTCCCATCTGATTGCTCACCCACACCCCAGAGAGGCAGTGGCCATGGTAGAAAGAGCCTAGCATCTGGCAGTAGATGACGTGGGCAAGAATCTGGCCAGTTCCGCCAGTCACAGTGACATTGGGGAAAGTATTTACCCTCTTTAATCCAGATTCCTCATTTTAGAATAGGAACTGAGCCTCCAGGCTCCTGGCCACAGGATCAGCATGTTCCTCCTGAGTTCAAACATGGGGCACTGGCACTGCGACCACAGAGCCAGAGGGTCCTGACACTGCTCCCAGGACACAGCTAAAATGCCCAGGAAGGAAGCAGCGAACAATGTTAGCTCTGCTATCTGTATTTCTCTTGCCCTCTCCTGGCCCCTGGGGTAGACTTTACAGCCCAACCCTCAGAAGCAGAGGTGAGAAAAAACACACTTCACGTTGCAAGGGCACCCTGCAACGAGCTAAAGGGTCCTCTAAAAGAGGTGGGAACCTGCCCTGAATGAATTGGTGAACAGTTAAAGATTCTTCTGGAAGGCCTTGGCTGAAACTGTGCAGTTCTTTTTTTTAATCTTTCTTTATTTATTTTTGGTACTGCTAATTTGTAGAGATTATGTGAATAAAGAGGTTTTTTTTAAATAAAAGTTATAACCAGTGACAGGAGGGAGGGGTCGTTGCAGAAGGGCCATGTGGCCCTGAACTCACACCCATAAACAACCCCAAAGATGGACTTTGAATTGTTATTTCCAGATGAAGTTAGTGGACAACACAGAGATACTCCAGGGGGAGGCAGAGATGAGGTTCCCAGTGAAACTTTAAGCTGTGTCTTCTTCCTTCAGTATGTAGAGTGGACGATGGTTTCTTGTGATAAGATATAATAGTTTTTGTGTACATTAAGACCATGACTCTGGGTGTTTCTTCTCTAGAGACTTCTGCTTCTCAGTCGAGACCTGCATAACCTTTTTCCGGTCGCCACCAATTCTGATCAGTGTTATGTAGAGGTTCTGGGTCTCATAATCTTTCCCAGTGTTTTGGATGGCTTTTAATTGTTTGATTATGCTGTTTCTTGAAAAAAAATTAACAAGAATTACATTGATATAGTTACTGACTCTAACTCAGCAAATCTGTCCTCGGTTTCTTTCAATTCTCATCTAATCCCTGGTAAGTAGAGAGGGATGGGAAGCTTATTTAACAAGACCTTAATACAGTTCTCTATGTGAACAAAGTTTCAAAAATCTATGACTATCAAATTTTCATTAACTCTTCACAGAGTTTTTTAGTGTTACAGTAGTGTTGCTTATTATTATTTTAATATAATAAAAAGTTAAATGTACCTATTTGTAATAAAAATTACCTTAGGGGACAAAATACTTCATTTTTTTAGTATATTGATGTGTGTAAGACACATAGAAGATACTTAACACAAATATGAAAAAGACAGTGTCCTTGCCTTCAAAGCACTTACAATCCAGAATGAGACAAAAAATTAACTGTATCAAAGATAGAATGATTCAGATGCTTGGATCTTCCCCCCACCCAAAAAAAGAGATAGAATGAAATAAATGCTAAATAGATATATAAACATGCTGTAGGAGCAAAAAGGAAGGCATAATTAATTCTAACAAGAGTAATAAAGAAGGCTTTATAGGAAGATGTTGAATAGGATCTTGAAGAAGAGTCATAAAAATATTCTCTCTCTCTCTCTCTCTCTCTCTCTCTCCTATAATGTACACTACCACATTTAGTGGTCCTAAAAAGATAGAGTTTTGCCATCCCCATTTTACAGGAGAGGAAAAGGAAGCTCAGCAAAGTTAAACAATTTATTTAAAGTCACATAATAAATAGCAGATCTGGGAAGCAAACCCAGATCTTCTCTCTTTCACAATATCAAAATTTCTCAAAGTGTGGACTATGATCACCTGTGCTGAATCATTTGGGGGTGTTTGTTGAAATGCAGATTCCAGGGTGCTTCCTCAGACCTTTCGAATCAAAATCTTGGTGGTAGATTTCAGGAATTTGTATTTTAAGCCAAATCTCAGGTAAATTTTACTTAACTAAAATTTGAAGACCATTGTGCTTACTAACAGAGTACGGAAGAAGGAGAAGAGGAATTCCAGGTCGAGGGAATACCATAAACAAAGGCAAGAAAACCAAAATTGTATTTTGGGAGTGGTGAGTAAGCTGGGAGTTTTAGATCACAGATGTGTGAAAGGATATAGTGGGAAATGAGACTGGAATGGCTGGATTAAGAGGCCTTCAAAGGTATGTTGGCTCACGTCTATAATCCCAACATTTTGGGGGGCAGGAGGATTGATTGAGGCCAGGAGTTCAAGGTTACAGTGAGCTGTGATCACACCATGGTATTCTAGCCTGGGTGACTGTGCAATACCCTGTCTCCAACAAAAATTAAAAGAAAAAAAAGGTATGTTAAAGAGTTTGGATTTTTTTTTTGGTAGGTGATGAGGACTCCTCAAAGATCTTTTTCTGAATATATGTATTTCTCACACATACACACATACCTCCCCTGAGTATATGTGTGCGTGTGTGTGTGTGTATATATATATATATATATATATACTTATGGTTATTGAACTCCAGTTTGTGCTAGGAATAACCGAACACATAATCCCAGGGCAAAGAACTCTAATCTCAGCTCTATAACCTTTTGGAAGGTCACTGTCACTCCCAAATGCATATTGATGGT